GGCTTTTCAAAAATTCAACAGTTATTCAACAGATTTTTTATTAGATAAACTAAATACCTTAAGTTTTTTAAAACCCCGTTGTTTTAAACCATTTTGCTTATCTCTAAAATTCAGGGAGCCTTAAGGACCATACCATTCCTGAGATGGCAATTTTGACAATTAATATATGTGGGCAAATTATCCACAGAAAGGTTCCCCAATAGAGTTGTTGATAAAAGTCTGTATTAAATTTCAATTGGTATATTTTAAAGTAAAAAAAGGAGAACTCATCTAAATATTCAGCTGTGTAATTGTATTTTTCATTTAAAAATTTTTAAATTTTATTTAGCCCTAGCCTGTTTGTCTCAGTGGATAGAGCGTCGGCCTGCGGACCAGAGGGTCCCAGATTCAATTATGGTCAAGGGCACATGCCTGGTTGTGGGCTTGATCCCCAGTGGGGGATGTGCAGGAGGCAGCTAATCATTGTTTCTGTCTCATCATTGATGTTTCTCTCTCTCTCTCTCTCCTCTCTCTCTCTCTCTCTCTCTCTCTCCATTCCTTTCTGAAATCAATAAAAACACGTTTCAAAAATAAACATACAAAAAAAAACCCATCTTGCACCTTGAAAAACATAATAGAAACTTAAATGCATGTTATTAGGTGAAAAAAGCCACTCTGCAAAGTAACATAGTTTATGCTTTTAACTATATGATTCTGGAAAAAGCAAAACTATGAAGACATAAAAGTACCAGTGGTTGCCAAGGTGTGGAAGCAGCCGGAGATGAATAGGCAGACCACAGTGGGTTTCCAGGGCAGTGGACCACTATGGACGATTCTGGAATGGTGAATACATGTCATTACCGATTTGGCTAAACTCATGGAATGGGAACTTTAAGGTAGACTATGGACTTTAGGTGATCACGAAGTGTCAGTGTAGGTTCATCGATTGTAACAAATGATATGGTTCAGGATATGGTATGAAAAAGGTTATGTATGTGGAGATAGAGTGTATGGGAACTCTCCACCTTTCTGTCAAATTTTGCTGTAAACCTAAACCTGCTCTGAAAAATAAAGTTAATGAATAAAAAATATATATATTGCCCCTCTCTTAAGTTTAGCATTTAATTACTTAAAAAGTATGAATTTTATTTTTGAAAAAGAATCCATGGACCTGTCTGTTTTGAAACATATAACATATGGTCTATGCATAAAATAGTAACCATTGCTAAACTATGAAATGAAACGCTCTAAAAAAAAAAAGTACTCTTTTAGTCATGACTTCCACTTCTTCTGAACTTTTCTGACATTTTTTCTCCTGATCACTCTTTTTGTCCTGTCTTGCTTTGTTGCTAAATCTCTGTGTAATATTGTTTTCCAGTCTAGGCTGTAAGCAACTCTAAGGCAGAACTGTGACTTTGATTCCTGTATTTGCCCTACAGCTCTGGGGACAGGGCATTTCCAACAGAGGAAGAGGGTAAGCCAGGGCACAGGGTGTGAGTGAGGTCAGACAGAGTCCAGAGAGCCAGACAGGTGATGGGTGATAAAGCTGGTAAATGGGGTTAAGATTAGACCAAGAACTGTAGATTTTTTTTTTTTTTTAATGTAGGCAGTGAGGATTGGTTTTTGTAAAACCAGGGCAGGGGCATAATTAGAATTGTGCTAAAGAAAATTGCTCTGGCAGCAGATTGCAAAATGGGTTGGTGAGAGGGAGAGGAAGCACAGAGTCTAATACAGGACATAAAAACAACAGCTCGCATTTATTGAAAGTGCACTAGGTGCCAAGAACTCTGATAAATGCTTTATGAGCATCATTCCACATAATCTTCACCACAAGTCTATGAAGCAGGTACTATCATTATCCTCATTTTACCTCAAGAAAAACGGTGAGGTGGAGACTTGGAGAACTTACATAACAGCCAGGTTCTTGGGCCAGTGACCTGTTCAATCGCACAGTGCTTGATATAATGCTATGCTGTCGCCATCTTGAAATTCTTTTTCTTAACAAAGGGCCTCATTTTCATTTTGCACTGACCATGACGAATTACGTAGTTAGTCTTGGTTGAATAATTTTGCTTGTGGCCACACAGGTAATGAAAGTCAGATACGAGGTTTAAGAGCCCATGTCTTCAGTTATGCTATGTTGTGCTATCTTATGATTCAAGAGCAGAATGTGAAGGAGAGGAAAATGAATTTGAAAGAGATTTTATCAGTATCGAAAAGATTAGGCCTGGCCAATGTGCTCATAGGTTGATTCTCAACCACTGATTGAGCATCAACCTATGAACCAGGAAGTCGCAGTTCAATTCCTGGTCAGGACACATGCCTGGGTTGCAGGCAGCTGATCAATGAATCTCTCTCATCACTGATGTTTCTGTTTCTCTCTCCCTCTCCCTTCCTCTCTGAAATTAATTTAAAAAGAAAAGGTTTAGAAAGTGGGTGTTGTTTTTTGCTAAATTGAAATAATTTTGTATTGAGAACTTTTTTAGGCTTTCACAAGATCTCTAGAGACGACCAGAGGTTTCCTATTGGGAAACATTGTTACTTCATTGAGGTGCTGTTAACTGGACTTGCTGGGTGGGGAGCATTGAGCTTTATGTCTGGGACATAAAGGTATTATTGCAAGGATTTATTTTAGTTTCAAGAGTCAGGCTGTTAAAGGGTTTGTTTTTTTTTGGTGTTTTTTTTTGTTTTTTTTTTTTACAAAAGACTTCCTTATAACTTTTATACTTCCCAAACTATTTTTCTTTTGTACTCATTGAAAAACAGATTGAAAACTGCCTGGTTTATTTGTCCCAGTATTTTAATAAAATATTTTTATGGAAATACTAGAGGCCTGGTGCATGAAATTCGTGCATAGGTAGGGTCCCTAGGCCAGGCTGGCAATCAGGGCAGATTGAGGCCTTCCAGCTGCCTGCTGGGGCCTTCCTTTGTCCCATGCCACCCTCTTGTGGTCAGCACATGTCATGGCAAGTGATCGAACTCCCAATCTCCTAGTCTAACTTCTGAGAGGAGACTTTGCATATTAGTGTGTGTATATATATTCATATATATATATTCATATGGAAAGAGTCAAATCAGATTTTTAAAAATTTAGAATAATATTAATTTTCTAAATAATTTAATTATTGAAATAAAAAAGTGAAACAAACGCATGGGTTCTGAATATATATATATTTCCAAAGACTATTTGACATATTGCTTGAATACACTCCTATAGAATCCATTTGTGTAGATAGGCAGATAAAAAGTTCTGTCGAACTGTAATCCTATAGTCATATACCAATATTTTCAATAGAAACCCACATTTTATCTGTAACAATGATAGAATTATATATGGTACACTAGAGGCCCAGTGCACAAAATTCGTGCACGGGGGTTAGGGGGTGTCCCTCAGCCCAGCCTGCACCCTCTCCAGCCTGCTGGCTCCCAACTGCTTGATTGCCTGCCTTCCTGATTGTCCCTAACTGCTTTCGCCTGCCAATCTGATCACCCCCTAACCACTCTCCTGCCAGCCTGATTGATGCCTAACTGCTCCCCTGCCAGCTTGTTTGCCCCTAACTGCCCTCCCCTGAAGGCCTGGTTCCCCCTAACTGCCCTCCCCTGAAGGCCTGGTTACCCCTAACTGCTCTCTCCTGCAGGCCTGGTCCCCGCCCCCCAACTTCCCTCCTCTGTCAGCCTGGTCATCCTTAAGTTCCCTCCCCTGCAGGCTTGATCTCCCCAACTGCCCTCCCCTTCAGGCTTGATTGCCAACAACTGCCCTCCTTGCAGGCCTGGTCCCTCCCAACTGTCCTTCCCTACTGGCCAACTTGTGGTAGCCATCTTGTGTCCACATGGGGGTAGCCATCTTGTGTGTTGGAGTGATGGTCAATTTGCATATTACTTTTATTAGATAGGATGACATGGTAGTCATAGGGAATGTATTCTAAATTGTGACCTTAAAATACATATTCAGATTTTCTTTGCTGTTGTTTAAGAGCTATTTTCACTTTACCAAGCATGTAATAAATGACTTCAAGAAATGTTTAAATGACTGAATGACAAAGTGAATAAAAAATCTATCATTAAAGGTAAAAAGGCCATGGCCAAGTAGCTCAGTTGGTCAGAGTATCATCCAATACTTTATGACTTCAGGTTCCATCTTCAATCAGGGCATATACAAGAAGCAACCAGTGAATGCATAAATAAGTGGAACAACAAATTGATGTTTCTCTCTCTTTCTCTCTCTCTCAAAGAACAAAAAACACTTTAAAACATTAAAAAAAAATGCTAGTCATGACTTCCTAACTTGATGTGATGACCCATCACCATTGGGTTATGATTTGCCATTTGACAATTATTGGACTAGTCAACCTCCAAGAAGAGTTAGTCTTTCAAAAAGAATCCTGTGGCTACAGCTAGGTTTTACCTAAAATTTCCAATTATCAGGAACCTATTTTGGGTCTAAGAATAGTATTTACTTAACCATATTTTGGCAAGCTTAATTAAAAGAAAAACGGTAAAGCTTCTGGATAAGTCTAATTCAGACACTCTTTAGGAATAAGTTACCAATTGCTTCTTTTCAGAAACAGGAAGTTATAGATGTATACTTTTGGATGGATGGAATTGAGTATTCACATATTTTAGCCTTGTGTTAAATGCAGTTATTAACCTCTACTGCGGCTCTGACAAAGTTTAGAAGAACAAAGAGAAAATAGATATAAAAACACTTTGAAAACCAGTGTTCTATTAAAATTATCCTGCGAAGGCAGCATGGGGAGGCTGCCAGCAAGCTCCAGGGAGGCAGTGTCTCGTTGTTTCTGAAATTCCCTGCTCTTACAGAATTGTCACGTTAGCCGCCCAAACAGCGATGACTCCGCGAAAGGCGCGGGGCTCCGTTCCAGACGAGAAGCTGTGCACTTGCCAGGGCTTTGACCCCACACGCCTGCGCTCGCTCCGTCTGCGCATGCTCCAGCCCGGCGCCGGCCTCCTCCTCTCGGGGCAGGGCTCAACTCCGAGGGCGGAGTGCGGGCCACGTGGGGTCCCGTGACGTCATCTCCGGGCGCCCCGGGTAACTGGACTCGGGGTGGGCTTCCAGGGGCTGTATTTGCGGGATCGCGGAGGGCGGAAGTGCAGCGGGGGCTCGGCTCCGACCACCTCGCCGGGACTTTCTGCGGCTGCGCGGCCTCTGGGGACTCCGGGCGCGCGCGCCTCTGCGGGACTGGGTGTCCAGTGCCCTGCGCCGCCGCCGCCGGCGGGCCGGAGCCGGAGCCGGAGCCGGAGCCGGTCGTCTTCGCCGGGGCGGAAAGCCGGAGAAGGAGCCGGCGGCGCTTCTGGTAGGGTGTTTGTTAGTGTGTGTATGTGTGTGTGTGTGTGTGTGTGTCAGTGTGTATGTGTCAGTGTGTGTGTGTGTTTGTCAGAGTGTGTGTGTGTGTGTGTCAGTGTGTATGTGTCAGAGTGTGTGTGTGTGTGTGTGTGTGGTGTGTGTGGTGTGTGTGTGTGTCCCGCCCCCCAGAAGGGAGAAATGCCCGGAGGAGGAGGAGGAGGGCTGGGGCGATGCCAGGTGAAGGAGGGGCGAATGGCGGGCCAGCGGGGCACTCCCTCGGACGGCGGCGGCGGGCAAAGGTGGCTGCTCGCTCGCTCGCTCGCTCTCCGGGAATGCGTCTGTCCGTTCTTGGCTAAGCTAGGAAGCCCAGGCTCGAGAGTTTCGTTTAAAACCTGCGTGTTGTCCACACACACACACACACACACACACACCCCCGGTGGGTCAGTTGTTTAAAATCACACATTTCACAGGCAGCTCAATTCTGTCTGAATTCGACCGGCATTTCCTCCGACTTACTTTCCCAACGGCATTCATGCAAGTCTCATGTTAATCATAGTGTGAACAAAAGCTATTTTCTATCGGCAAAGTATTCCCACGAGCTTTAATTCATACTTTGGATTGTTTTCAAGGCATATACCTCAAGAACTTGAGGAACCTGGGGGGAAACTGGGTTGGTTCTAGATTTCTACGGGGCGGGGGAGGGGGAGGGGCACAGCGAGTCTTCCATCAAGAATCAGAATCCAGACACCGTCATACAGCATGGAGCTCTCCAAGACCTTTCAGAATTCACTTGGTGAATCTCAAGTTTTGAGGACCGTGGGTACTTTGATCTGAACTGAATTATATGTGATTTCCGTAGGAGTTGTTGGTTGAATTTTGAATTTGAAAGTAAACATGTTGGGTTGAGTGTAGTAGTTGAGGGGAATTTCAGAATTTTGTACTAGATTTAAACATGTGCTTGGATTCTCAAATATGAGCTGGTTAAAAGTGGAGGGAAGTTAACAGGATAGTATTTTTATATGGATATAAGTTTTTTAGAATAATGTGTGCACTTCAAGTGTAAGTTAGCTTTATCAATTTAACAATTGACTGCCTGTTATGAAACAGGCACTGAGCAAAAAGTAAACAAAACAGTGAACAAGACAATAAAAATCCCTGCTATCTTGAAGTTCACCTTGGTGGGAAGAGGGAAGACAGTATAAAAATTAATTAAAATATATAGCATGTAGTGAAAAGTGCTGGAGAGAGAGAGATAAATAAAGCAGTGAAGGGAAATGCTGGTGGTGTGCATAGGAAATTGCAGTGTGGCCTTAGAAGAGATGATATTCGGGCAGAGACCTGACAAAGAAGGGTGCAGTATGGATGTAGTGGAAAGAGCCATCAGAGAAACCACCAAGTCCCCGAAGCAGCTGGTTTGACTGGGACTGAGTGAGCAAGGGGGAAGAGAAGTAAATAATAAGGTTGGAATGGGGCCAAGTGGCATATGGCCTTGTAGGACTTTGTAAGAACTTTTAGTTTTTACTTTGAATGAGAATAAACTGAACTGACTTGTGTTTAAAAGGATCTTTCTGATTGCTATGTTGTCTGCTTACAGCAAGGGCAGAAATGAGACCTGTTGGCTGGTGCATTTTCGTAGGTGAAAGGTCACGGTGACTTGGATGGGTGGTAATAGTGGAGGTGGTGACAAATGGCAGATTTTTTTACTTGTGTCTGAGCTAGAGTCTTCAGATGTGAAGAGAAGTCAAGGATGTCTCCAAAGTTTAGAGCCTGATCACGAAAGAATAGAACAATTAACACTTAGTAATTTTGGAAGACCACAGAGTAATAGGGAGAGCGGGGAGGAAGATCTGAAATCACTGTTTTGCAACATGTTAAATTTTCAAATGAAATGTCAGTACACAGTAGAATATATGAAACTGGAGTTCAGAATATAAATGTGGGAATTGTTACAGTATAAGTGATATTTAAAGCCATGAGAATCCTCCAAAGGCATGGTTCAAGGACTGAGCTCTGGAGCTTTCAACTTAGTAAAAGTAGGTGAGATTCTTCTAACTCCCCCAAGGTACGGTGGGGCTACTCATTAAAATCCTTGTTGAGAACCCTTGATCTTGAGAGAAGGGTGGGGGCAAGGAGAGGATGTGTGGGTGGGAGGTTATGAACCAAAGACCTTGTATGCATATATACATAATCCTTGGACACAGATAATAAGGTATTGAAGACCTGGGGGGCAAGGGGGCTGGGGCAGGTTGGAGAGGAGTCAATGGGAGAAAAAAGAGGGACATTTATAATACTTTAAACAATAAATAATAATAATAATAATAATAATAATAATAATAATAAAAGAACCCCTGGTCTTTAGATACAAGATAGAAGAAAGTAGAAACCGGGTTCTCAGAAGCCAGGCCCTTAACTGAGAGACAGTGAGGAAGGAGAGGTGTGAAAATTTAAGGAGAACAGAGTTATGAAATGGTTATATAGATAGTGGGAGAATAAATGGACTAGTGAAGTGGAGGAACATGGTTAGTACTTAGAGCCCACTTTTGAGGTTAGTTATGAATTTAAAGAGAGATCAACTAGCATAGATTATTATTTTTAGATGTTTACGAATTTACTGGTAAGCATTTGATATTTTAAGTAATTTCTAGATAGTTGGGATTTTTGTCAGCAAAATAGCTTTGGGTAATTGGCTAGCCTTTCTTGGTCTGTAGTGTGAAAGGGACTGTTAATTGTTCATTATATTTTTTTGCCATATTCACTATGCTATTTGTTAAATATTGTTGATTGGGCACCTGCTCTATTCCAGGTCCTGAATTGGATCTAGAGAACACAGTCATCAATAGGTAGGGCCTGCCCTTCAGAAGCTTACTTCTAGTAGAGTGCCTTATGGGTTGGGATTTCTGTGCTTCCAAAACGTTGCTTTCAAATTGGATATATGATGATGATAGTGTAGTGTATGTATGAGAAGGAAAAGCATTTTTCTAAAATAATGAAATTTGATTAAAGTGTGATTGTATTGGTTTGGGAAAGCATTTAAGTGGAAAAGTATTTTAAGTAACTAGTATAACTTTCGGACTTATATATCCAATATAATAAAAGGCTAATATGCAAATCGACTGACAGGTGGAATGACCGGTCGCTATGATGTACACTGACCACAAGGGGACAAATGCTCAATGCAGGAGCTGCCCCCTGGTGGTCAGTACACTCTCACAGGGGGAGCACCACTCAGCTAGAAGCCAGGCTGACCGCCTCTGTGGCAGCACTAAGGATGTCCGTGAATAGGACCTTTAGGAAGTCTGCCAAGGGCTCCCAGACTGCAAGGGGCGCAGGCTGGGCTGAGGCCCCATGCAACTTCCCACCCCAGTGCATGAATTTCGTGCACCGGGCCTCTAGTTTTATATATTTATGTATATTTTCCAGTTGTTCAACAAAAATTCCAGAGCCTGCTCTGTCCTAATTATGCTAATATTGTGGGTGCAAAGGTATCCAGTGTCTGCTGTCAAGGAACTCTCAGTTCGGTATTGGGAGAGGCAAGAGAGATAAGATGAACATATCTGCAATGAATGGTTATAACATGCTATTGTAGAAGTAATTAAATTGAAGGTTGCTTAGCTGACTTTTTTTTTTAGGTGTTTAATCCATTATTATTCAGAATTAGCTGACACTTAAAAAAGATTGAGTGTGGCAAAAAGAAGGAGGGAAAGGAAGCTCAAGTAGAGGGACCATGGAAACACGAAGAAACCATATATTTAATTTTTGGCATTTGAATTATGATGTGTCTGGTTGTGGGTCTCTTTGGATTCTTCTTGTTTGAGGTTCTCTGTGCCTCCTGAACTTGTGTGACTTTTTCTTTTGCCAGGTTAGGGAAGTTTTCTACTATTATTTCTTCAAACACCTCTATTCCTTTCTCCCTTTCTGCCTCTTCTGGCACATCTACTATTCTAATATTATTATGTTTCACATTGCCCCAGAGCTCCCTTAAGCTGTCCTGTTTTTTAATTGTTTTTTCTTTTTCTTTTTGGTTCTCTAATTGAGTGATATTTTTAACTCTCTTCTAATCCACTGATTCGTTCCTCAGCTTCCCCTAATCTGCTGTGTATTCCTTCCTATGTGTTTTTTATTTGTGTTATGTCATTCTTTATCTTAGATTGTTCTTTTTTCATAGTTAATGTATCTTTTTAATACTGTTGAGCATTTTTCACATCATTACTTTGAACTCTGTTTCAGAGAAGTTTCTTATCTCTGCTTCATTTTCTAGTTCTTTTACGGGGGTTGTTTCATTGTTTCCTCATTTTGGTTGTCTGGGTTTGTGCTTTTGTTTTAGGTAGATCCTCTATACCTCTCAATCTGTAGTGCAGGACAGTGTTAAAGGTTGTTTCTGACTAATTGGATCAGACAAAGACTCAATTTGACTCCAGAGACTACCTCTTTGTACAGACTAATAAGGATTCTGACTTGAATTTCTCCTAGGCAATCATCCTCAGGTGTGGTGAGAGTTTTTTCAACAGGGTGGGGCAGTTGCTTCTGCCTGGAGGCTAAGTTTTTACTTTTAATCTCTTAAATGGCCTCAGGACAAGGTGTTTTCCAATAGGGTGTGTCCACTGTCTTCCCACAGGCCAGCAGATATCTATGTGGGAAAGATGTCCTCCACTGTGTGAGGGAATTACTCAACCCAGGAAACTTGGGTGTCTGCCTTCTGAGCTTCAACCCCCAAGTCCCCAGTTCTGGGTTCTGCTCTCACGGTTCCAGTCCACTTCACCCTCCCTCTGCCAGAGCACAAGGTGGGTGGCTTCACAGGGAATTTTTGAGCATTGGCCCTTTAAGAGGGTGCCTGAACTTTCAGCTGCCACTCCCTGTCAGATAACACCCCACTGCTGTTCACAGCTAGATGTTATGTGGGTTCCCTCTTCAGTTTTGTGCTCTCTTTTGGGGAGCCCAGCTTCAGGATTAGATCCCAGAGTTCTCAGTGGCACCTCCCCACAGCTGAGATAACCTCTCCGGTGAATAGCGATATTAAAATATTTTTTCTAAATATTATTTAGAAGTGTGCATGAATTTGTGTACGAGCCTCTAGTAGTAAATAAGATTGGAAATACTGGTAAAATCAAATATTGATAGTATTTGGAGTGGAAGAGGTTTAAATGTGGGTCAGGGCCCAACCGTTGTGGCTCAGAGTTTGAGTGTCAACCTATGAACTAGGACAGTGGTTGGCAAACTCATTAGTCAACAGAACCAAATATCAACAGTACAACGATTGAAATTTCTTTTGAGAGCCAAATTTTTTAAACTTAAACTTCTTCTATGCCACGTCTTTAAAATAGACTCGCCCAGGCCATGGTATTTTGTGGAAGAGCCACACTCAAGTGACCAAAGAGCTGCATGTGGCTTGCAAGCTGCAGTTTGCTGAACATGGAACTAGGAGGTCACAGTTCGATTCCTGGTCAGGGCACATGCTCAAGTTGTGGGCTCAATCCCCAATGTGGGGTATGCAGGAGGCAGCTGATCAGTGATTCTCATCATTGATGTTTCTATCTCTGTCTCCTTCCCTCTTCCTCTCTGAAATCAATAATATGTATTTTTAAATATATATATAGGGCAGGGGTAATTGGGATATTTTGGTGTTGTACTCTGGGAACCTTAGGACATCAGTGAAGAGTTCACTTTAGATGCAATGATGTATAAGTTTCACTGTGGCTGTGGCTCATTAGTTAGCCTATGTTATAATTTTGAATTGGCTACATCTATGATTCCTTTAAATAATTAATGGCTCTGCATTTAGAATTTGTTGCACTGATTTAGGCATTCATTTTTTTCTAAAATCTTTCATTCATCCTTGCAAGGATCTGATTAATGCTCCTCATTTTATTTTCAGTTTAGCTTTGGTTGAAAAAAGAATTTAGCCTATATGTACTGCTTTAACCACTGGAAGAATGACAGATGACAAAGATGTGCTTCGAGATGTGTGGTTTGGCCGTATTCCAACTTGCTTCACCCTGTATCAGGATGAGATAACTGAACGAGAAGCAGAACCATATTATGTAAGTATGTTGATGGTGGCAAATGGGATATCTAACTTTGTTCATTTTTATAAACAAGACTCTAAAAACCCGGAGGCTATTGTTCAACATTTTATATACAATTAGTACATGCTTATTATAGAAAATTAGAAAACACAGATCAGCAAAACAAATGAAATTAAAATTGCCTCTATTTTTACCACCCAGAATGGAAAAACACTGTTGACATGTTGTTATGGGAACTTCTTGACTTTGTTTTTCTTATGCAACATGCATATATTGATGATGGAATCAGAAGTTATGTGCTGGTTTTAACAGGAAGCTGACTTGAAAATAATACATTCTGATTTGATTCTTTTGTCTTGAGGTGGTTCCAAGAAACTATTTGATACATTCTTTATTATATCTTAGTGAACATGTGTGTATGCTTTTTCACATGTCAATGAGCTACTCTATATTATATAAAATACTAGTGGCCCGGTGCATGAAATTTGGGTGTGTGTGTGTGTTGGGGGGGTGGCCGTGTCCCTCAGCCCGGCCTGCACCCTCCCCAATCTGGGACAACTTGAAGGATGTCATACTGCAGTTTACAGGGATCAGGCCTCAACCAGCAGTCGGACAACCCTCTCACAATCTGGGACTGCTGGCTCCTAACCGCTCACTCTGCATACCAGCCTGCTCAACCCCAACTGCCCATCACCACCAGCCTGCTCGCCCCCAAATGCACCCCCCACACCAGTGTGCTCACCCCGAACTGTCCCCCCGCCAGCCTGCTTGCCCCAACTGTTCCTCTGCTGGGCTGCTCACTCCAAACTGCCCCCCCCCCATCCTGATCACCTCCAACTGACCCCCATTGACGTCCTGCTCACCCCCAATGGTCTGCTTACTCCCAACAACACCCTCCCCCACCAGCCTGATCACCCACAACTGCCCTTCCCTCTTGGCCTCTAATCGCCTCTACCTCAGCTCCGCCACCATGGGTTTGTCCAGAATGAATTCTGGAAGGTCTCCTGGAAGGTCTCCCAGTCTAATTAGCATATTACCCTTTTATTAGTATAGATATTATTTAGTAACAAAAATTGCTGTATGTAGAATTGTGGTTTGAGTTATTATCTGTTCTAAAGAGAATATCAAATATATTCTGAATTTAGCCTGTTTTTTTTTCTTCTTTTTTCTGAGTGCACGTATAATCCAAACCTAAGCATTTGTCAAAAATAATAGTGTCCTGACTGTTTACTGGGTAGCACCTAATAGGCAGAGACATTCTCAGTTGTCCTTATTTGAGTTTTTTTCTTTTTGTATCTCATATATACGTAATATCATTTACCCAGGAGGTTCTGGAAAAGTGGAAAATGTCTATATGATTCTGGACTATTCCTTGTTTCACTTTAATAAAGCATGCCCTTTGCATTTTCACATCTCTGTTTGGGAGGCAGCACCGCTCCTGAGCGATGGGAAGTCAGACTGCTGGAAATCTCAACAATTTGCATTTCTGCCTTTAGAAAAACTTCTGTAATTAAAAACAAGATATGGCCATAGTTTATTTTTAGAAGAATTTTATTTGTTAGATATATTTTTCCTCTAATTCTTCTATATTGATTAGGATAACATTTTTGTTTTATTTCAAACTAGATTTATTTATTTTAATTAAAAATTTTAACCTTGAATTGCTTTCTAATAGTGCCTAAACAAAGGAGAATAAGTGTCTAGTTGGTCAAAGTGGCAAAAACTGAAAAATATTTATGTCTGTTTACTTTTGAATCAGAATATGATGTTTAATTCTGGCTGGTGTGGCTCTGTGGTTGAGCATCAACCTACCGTATTTTTCGGACCATAAGTCGCACTTTTTTCCCCCCAGAAGAGGGGGGAAAATGGCCCTGCGTCTTATGGTCCAAATATAGCCTACACATATACTTTTTTAAAAAAGTTTTTTTACTTGCCCGGCTCTGTGTGGTCTCTGTGTGCTTGCCCGGCTCTGTGTGCTTGCTTCAGCCACTGTCCATTCCTCCATACCCAGAGTGTCTGCCCCGCTCTGTAAACCCCAAGTGGTAGAGGAGTTCCCATGTATGGTAGTCAGCCTCCATGCCCTCGCTGCAGCCATATCTCCATGTCAGCCCGGGTGCGTTGTATGGTAACTGCGTAATCCAAACTGTAATCATCGCCTGTACCCCTTGCTGGCCTGTACTCCGTGCCCGGAAGAATACCGCGTCTATTCCCCCAATCATTCCTCTCTGCCCTCTGTTGCCGTGCTTGACTACTGGGTAGGCGTACTGTAGATCTCCGCCCACCAGTAAACTCCGCCCTCTGCTGGATGCCCTGATTGATAACACCGCTTCGTCAGAATTTCTCTTCATACTATTATACCGGTAACTGTCAAAATGTTTGTACTGCAACAAACTTCATACCGGTATATTGTATGCAGAGACTTTCTGTGATACCAAACCAATAACATTTACCATAATGTAAAACACTCTCCAGCCTCTTCTCTCACCACTACAATGTGTAGATACCCATAAACTATGCAAAGAAAGCATAGAAAGTCTCTGCATGATTTATGGGTTTACACATTGTAGTGGTAACACTGAACTTTTTGTTTCAGAATCTTTTTTTCTTCATTTCCCTTCTCTAAAAACTGGTGCGTCTTATGGTCCGAAAAATACGTATATATCAGGAGGTTGCCAGTTGGATTTCCTGTCAAGGCACATGCCTGGATTGTGGGCTTCCCAATAGGTGGCTAGCAGGAAGGGACATATTTTATGATCCATTTACTTTTTAAGATATGCTTTTATTGATTTGTGAGAGAGCAGAAGAGAGAGAGAGAAACATCAAGAGAGGAAAACATCAGTGGGCTGCCTCCTGCATGCCCCCAATTCGGGCATGTGCATAAGCCCTGAAATCAAACCAGTGACTTCTTGGCGCATGAGGTGACACTGAACCAATTGAGCCACATGGCCAGTGCTTATGATCTATATCAATGAGCTATCTAGAATCAAAAGACAAAGTAGAAAAGTGATTACCTAGGCAAGGGGGAGAGAAAAAGGGGGAAATTATTGTTTAATAAGTATAAAATTTGAGTTGGAGATGATGAAACATTCTGGAGAATGGATAGTGTTCATGGTTGCACAACAGTGAATGTATTTGATGCCGCTGAACTATACACTTAAAAATGGATAATAGGAAAAATTTTATGCTAATTGTATTTTACTAGTATTTAAAAAAATTCAAGTAAACCAGTGAGATGCACCCATGAAAAGAGTGGTACAATCTGGATGTACAAGGCAGGATGATGTATTTTTGCTGTTCTTTTCATTTTTACCTATTTATTTACTAGATACTTATTTAAAATTTACTGAATAAATTGTATCTAACATAGTCATTCTTAAGTCTTAGAATTATTTCTTGGAGTTACTGTAAATATTTATATGTTATAGATTATTACTACCATAGACCAATTTGGAACAGAAGATTATAAGTACACTTCCCTGTAGTTCCATCTTAAGGAGAGGCATTCTTTATTAATTAATGTTTTTGGTCTTTTGTCCGACTTTAACCTTTGACATCTCTGATTCTCACAGCAAATATTTATTGTGTGCCTACTATAATGTGTGGGCATTGAGATTGTAGCAGTGAACAAAACACAAATATTACTATCTTTTTAAAAATATATATATATTTTATTGATTTTGTACAGAGAGGAAGGGAGAGAGTTAGAAACATCGATGAGAGAGAGTCATCGATCAGCTACCTCTTGCACACCCCCTTCTGGGGATATGCCCGCAACCAAGGTACATGCCCTTGACCGGAATCAAACCCAGGACCCTTCAGTCCCCAAGCCGACGCTCTATCCATTGAGCCAAACCGGTCTCGGCAAATATTACTATCTTAATGGAGCTTACATTCTAATGTTCTTCATTTCCTTATTTTTAAAAAAATATATATTTTATTGTTGTTTTTTTTACAGAGAAGAAGTGAGAGGGATAGAGAGTTAGAAACATCAATGAGAAACATCGATCAGATGCCTCCTGCACACCCTTTACTGGGGATGTGCCCGCAACCAAGGTACATGTCCTTGACTGAAATCGAACCTGGGACCCTTCAGTCCGCAAGCCGACGCTCTATCCACTGAGCCAAACTGGTTTCGGCTTCATTTCCTTATTGTAAAGAAGTTTTTGTTTCATGAAAATAATTTGAGAATTTTTAGCAACTTTGATTAAATTGTAGGCACTCCCTAAAATCAGGAGCTGATGTCCATACTCATTAGTCCTAATATGTCTTTCTTCTTACAAACTCCATAGGTTAATATAATCCTCTACAGAACACATGATGATGATTATTATTAAATGCCCAACAGACATTTTAAGTTAAAGTTCAGAATTACAGAGCTTATTAGACTGATAGATTATATGTATTATTTATTTTTAAATGGCTAAGTTACTATGCTGTTTTAACTTCTTAGAGTCTGTCCATGTTTCACCTATATTTGATGCTGTTATTTTTGACTCTAATAAATCTTTTCTTTGCCATTTATGTAATAGAATATGAATGTGGAAAGTTATTTAAACTGTGTATAAAATAGAAGTGGTACTATTTCCTATAAACGAGTGCTTTTCTTTATACTGGTGTTAGTTCCCTTTTTCTTTTCTTTTCTGTCGCATTCTAGTTGTTTCTTTATAAAAGAGGACCTTATGTTTTTTCAATCCACAATAATATCCAACAGCTTGTTCATAGTACCATCTATTCCATGCTGGAGCATGCCTCCCACACCCTCATCCTCTGTAGTCCCCAGGATTACTGTCATGTTCTCTTACCTACTTAGAGCCTGTTATCTTGAGCTTCACTGAATAAATATCACTTCCTTTTACCAGAATATTTCCCTTTGTACAATATATATACTCCAGCCCAGTAGTTTTACTTAATTTACCGAAGACATAATCTTAAATAAGCAGTATGAAGAAAGATGCAGTTATACACACAAAAGCAACAGAAAAAGTGTATAAAAACAATTTTATCAGCAAAATAAAACCGAAGCTTAGGAAAGCAAGAAATGGCTAGAGGGACTATACTGCAAAGGAGGAAAAAACATGAATTCTCACCAGTGGACTGAATTGATTATGCTCTCAGAACAGTTTAATTATTTTTATAGTTTAAGTTAATTCATATTTTTAAGTTAAAGTTACTTGAAGTACTAAGTATCCTAATTAGTATGGCATTTGGTTACATTGTTCTTTTATTTGGAGGAAATTATAAAAGAGTATGCTTAAATTTATATTGCTTATTCTAGGCATTTATGGTATAAGCTATACTTAAAGTAATGATCTCATAAGAAATTTTTAACATCTTAACCTTTAGCCTTTGATTTGTGTAGAATACTCAAAATAATGCAAATAATATGGTGTTTTTCCTTAAAATTCAAAAGCGTATTTTAATAATAAATAAATATGGTTTATAAATTTTCATTTCAGTTACTTTTGCCAAGAGTAAGTTATTTGACGTTGGTAACTGACAAAGTGAAAAAGCACTTTCAGAAGGTTATGAGACAAGAAGACATTAGTGAGATATGGTTTGAACATGAAGGCACACCACTGAAATGGTGAGTGAATTTTTCTGCATTATTAAGAATTGAGTATATGCTAACCTTAAGAAGGTATAGTGCCCTGAAGCAATTTTTAACAACTTCTGTAAAGAAAGAAATCACTGGCCTAGCTCATCTAACACAGTAAATTTTAAACTATCATTAGACTATTTTATGGAAAATATTTCTGCCTCCCATTTGGATTCATGGGAGATTGGATAGATTTGTGTATATATATATATATATTTAAAATATATTTTATTGATTTTTTACAGAGAGGAAGGGAGAGAGCTAGAGAGCTAGAAACGTCGATGAGAGAGAAACATGGACCAGCTGCCTCTTGCACACCCTCTACTGGGGATGTGCCCGCAACCAATGTACATGCCCTTGACCAGAATCGAACCTGGGACCTTTCAGTCCGTAGACCTCCTACACTCTACCGCTGAGCCAAACCAGTTTCGGCTAGATTTGTATATTTTTAATAGATTTTTAAATGTTACAATAATATATTTGTTTATGGGTTGTTGTTGTGTTTTTCAAATGTACTTAAAACCCCTTAATAAATATGTCACTCTGTGACACTTTTTTTGTATCTATTCAATTTTGTTTCTATCTCCAAAATCTTTACAGATCTTTATATATAAGCATGATTATCTCCAATGGCATCTTTTAAACCGATGGCCACATTTAGTTGATCACTAGGCCATAAGCACATTTTATCTAGCCTTGGTTTAGTATTTAAAGTATATTGATTTCCTTTTTATGTGAAAAATAATTTTGGTATTATATTACTTTTAAGAATTATATTGAAAAAATAATCCTGAATTTGTGTTTATCCATATACAGATGATGTATTTTATACTTCCTCTATTATTGGGAGTTTTGTTTGTTGCACTTCCAAACATATTCAATTAAACTGGAGAAATTGCAGAGAGAAGAATATGAAAAAGTGGTTATAGTGTTGAAATGCTGCCAAGTGGATACAAACTGAATCAAAATATAAATGAAATATGAAGAGTAGAAACAGGTTAAAAATGAACTTATTCTCTGAATATTAGACTGTTAAAATGAGTTTTAAAAGTGATTTAAGTAAAAGGAAGCTGTATGTGTTTAATAAGTGTGGCTGAATTTAAGATTGTTTAGAAACAAGGAGTGAACTTTTGGAATTCACCTTGTGCTCATGAGTAAATTTTTTGTAATAGTGCAGACATATATAGGATGATATTTCATATTACTGGTCACATCTCTACCATTTTGAGGTGGTTCTGTGACAGGATGACAAAAGTTCCTTAATGACCTTGCCCTAGCTGGTGTGGCTCAATTGTTTGGAGCATTGTTCTATGCACTGAAGGGCCATGGGTTTGATTCCCAGTCAGGGCATGTACCTGGGTTGCAGGTTCGGGGCACATATGGGAGGCAACTGATTGATGTTTCTCTCTCACATTGATATCTGTCTGTCTGTCTGTCTCTCCCTTCTCCTCTCTCACTTCCTCCCTTCCTTCCTCCCTCCCTCTCCCCCTCTCTTCCTTTCTCTCTAAAATCAGAGGAAACATATCCCCCGGTGAGGATTAAAAAAATAACAAACCACATAAAACCAATACTACTGAGCTTTATGATCATATATCAGATTCATGACTCTTGAATGGTTCTAGACTTCAGGCAAGATAGATAATTAGTGTTTTTTTCTGGGTCTTTTTATTTCTCAGAAGAATTGGAGGTTTTGGAATAGGAAGGTGGCTTAAAAGAAGTATAAAAGGAGCAAGGGTCAGGAGAGTAGTGGAAAAGGAGAGAGGGGAAAAGATTGTAGGTGAGTAATAATAAGACATAGCTATGTTCTTGAAGTATAAGAGGAGCAATCTCTATATTCTAATTGGATATTATAATTGCATTGTTTATATGTATTTGTTATAGATTATTGTAATTAGAATCTGTGTGATTGACACCAGGCTTTGCTATTTTAACCATTGTAGAGCAGGATTTCTCAGTAAGGGTCCAATTGACACTTTGACCTGGATAATTCTTTGTTGGGGGAGGGCTACCCTGTACATTGTAGGATTTTTAGCAACAGCCCTTGCCTCTACCTACTAACACCAATAAATATTCCCTCTAGTCATGTTAATAGTGCTTTTCAGGGGTTGTAAAACCACCCCCCAATTGAGAGATCCTAGAAAAGATGGGAAACCTCAATTTAGCTTTTATAGTAAATGGTTGTTAAGTTATCATCCGTCAGATGCTGTTTTAATCTGTCTTGTATGGAGGCTATTTTTGTATTTGATATCGTTTGTATACTATTGGTTTATATTCTACATATGCTGTCAATAAATAATATTTGGGCCCATATATCACTGTTACTACAGAGTAATATCTTTGGCATAAATATATCATGTTCCTACTTTTGTCAGTATTTATTCCTTTGAATGTCTTATTAAACAGCGAAATTATTGCTCCTTTTAGAGAGCTTACGATATATGAAAGTAATTGTGTTCATGGATCTTTGTTCATTTTAGTTTTGGGGGTGTTAACTTTTTAATGTATGTTACCACTTGCATAGTTACATCTTGCTTGCTCTAAGCTCATTGTATTTAATGGCTTTAGGTACACTTGCCTTTAGTATGGTTAGGTACTCCATATAAGGAATGAATAACTTTCAGAGGCATGAGTGTAATCCAGAATCTGGGCTAACTCTTAATCTTTTCTCTCTGTTCCCAACAATATTTTTTTTCCCTGTGTTAAAAGAACTATCTTCCTGGAAATAGGCTATCAGTAAATACCTGTCATTTAATTAAGCGGTAAACCTCATAGGATAGGGTAATCATTGAGGCAGCTACTACTGAAGCTTTCTAGGATTTGGGCTTTTGAGACCATACAAGTATCTTAAGAGTAGAGGAGCATTTATTTGAGAAGATTGATAGTTTCTTTCTTATACTTGACTAGAGGCCCAATGCACGAAATCCTGCATGAGTAGGGTCTCTAGGCTTCGCTGGCGATCTGTGGGGTAACTGGCGGGGTGACGGGTGGAGGAGAGGTGCTGGTACTTCCCTCCCCCCGCCACCACTATTGGTCGCCTCCCTCTGCGGGGCGAATGGCAGAATGATTGGGTGACCCCCTGCTGGCACCCATCTTGGCTGGTCTGGGGCATGCCGGCCTGGGGCAGCTCCTGGTGGTCAGTGCACATCATAGCTACCGGTCATTCCACTAATCCTTCTGCTGTTCAGTCTATTTGCATATTAGTTTTTTATTATATAGGATTCTTTGGAGTTTTAAATAAATTTAAGTGAGAAAGTAAATTAAACACCAATTTAGACAACTTATTTTAAAAAAAGAAAGACCATGAATTGCTAATTCTTTTCCCTTTACAAGTCCTTTCCTATTTGTACTTATTGTTTTTATAATTGTTTAAATATCTGCATGAGATGCTTAAGCTGGGGCTTTGTACCTTAAGCAGTAGCATGTGAGATATGCTAAGTCAATGTTTGTTTAAGGAATGGATGACTCTAAATTAGTCTCTTTTATTGAGAAAACTGAGAAAGCTAAAATAAATAAAATAACTTGTGCAAATAAGCAAGTAGGACCAGATTTTTGAGAGTCTTAGTTCAGTGCTCTTTCTGATATTCTATTTGTCAGTTGTTTTCTCCAATTCTATATATTTTTTTCTAATTGCTTATGTTAATTTGTCCAGATTAGAATAGCAGAATATTTAAGAGCAGTGTCATACACTTAATGAGTACTTAATATGTTGTTGATTTGTAGAGAGATTCCAAGGAGGTTTTATCTGATTGATGCTTTAGCCTCTACAGTCTTTTGTCTGTTTAACTTTTTAAAATCACTTAGAAAGAGAAAAGGGCTGATCTAACTCAAATGTAAGGATATTAGTGTGGGTTTTTTTTGTTTGTTTGTTTGTTTTGTGTGTGTGTGTGTGTGTGTGTGTGTGTGTGTGTGTGTGTTTTCCTTTTCTTTTTAGAGTGATTTGAGTTGATTAGTCAGCAGAGGGTGCTCTAACATTGCATTTTAAAGAGTGAAGTTTCTTGTACGTACCATACATAACTCAAGTGTTCAAAATTTGTTTGATACTTTTATATTACTTATTTTAAGAGAATAGTTCTGAAGAATACTTCATAGTATACCCTAATACTGGTTTAGATTTTAGACCTTCAGATACAAAACTTAGAAAAGCTTCTCTTTTTGTCAACAATAAAACAAGTCTGTCTAACGGGATATTATTTTGTGTTAATTGACTTATTTTCAGGACTTGTTGAAAAGAAGAAATTGAAACTTTTGAATTAAATAAAGAAGCAAATACTAATGTTGATTTTAAGCATAGATGTAGTAGAATGACCCAGAATTTAATAGTGTACCTAGGTGTTTCAAAAGTAAATTTTAACAAAACAACTTTAACATCTTAATCATAAATATTATGATTTTTATCACTTCTCCATTTTAATCATTTTTCTAAGATTGTAAATTTCTAGAATTTTATAAATTATTCTGTAAACTAGATATTTGAAATGTGGATTACTTATAGCATTTTATACTTGCAATAGTCCATTGGTTATTTTTATACTTTTTTATACATCAGAACAGGCTTAGAAAGCTGTAAAACACAGTGCTAGTCTACAGTTGTTTGTGCCATGGATAAAGGCAAAATTGATTGCAATCATTGAATTACTTTGGTTTACATTTGAGTTACATCTTTTTTTTTTTTAAGTATTATTTAATGAAAGCAGCAAGCTTATGAACAGGCTGCATTTATTTCAGTGAAATGGAGTGGGACAATAGTTCTCTAGTATTGAGTATATGGGAAGATTCCTGTCAGTGCTGATTTTAGACTATTGGCTTGCTGTCTGACTGCAGATGTTTAGACTAGAATGAGCACCCTTGGCTGGCGTCAGAGCATATCCATTACTGCTATGCTGTGAGCCAGTTGTGTATATGTATGTTAGCACTAATGAAAGGGTAAAGAAGAAACAACCTTATGCAAAGAAAAATGAAAATATTAATTTATTTTGAAAATTGAATTT